TGTCATTTAACAAAACTGAATATTATGTGGCATTTAACATAGTTCTGAATTTTATTTTATTTTAACTTGAATATTAAACATTTGAAATTTAACACAACTTAATTTTTTTAGGCAGAATTTTATAGACATGTATGTTCAAACATCATTCTTTTTGTTCTAAAATCTTAGACTGCAAATATCCAGTTTTTAAAAATACAGCTTCAAGTTTTCAAGATGAAGAGGAAATTCTGAACATCAAATTCAATATTCTAAAATTCAATACGCAGAAATTCAGACTGTAGAGAAAGTAGGTTATAGGTAATCCACAGGGAAGAGTAGATGATCTCCGAAAAGTCAAACGAAGCATTTTGGCCAATTAGTAGTTTTCTGGCGTGAGTGTGCGGTTCAAGATCTACCTGATCATGAATCGCTCAGTGATTCTTAAACATTTATGGTTTATATACTTATAATGTTAGGTTAGCATTCTCAGCATGTGAAACATTTGTCTAAGCAGTCTTACTGTTTAAAACTGTTTGTTTTAAAGTTTATTTGGTGTGAAAGTGATTAGCATGCCACCGTGTCTACACAAGACGCAAGCGAAAGCAAAAAAGACAGTAGAGCCCATTGATTATAATCAGTGATATTTCCTACACTGGATGCGGCGCGGCGCAACACTATACAGACGTGACTGCTTGAAGTTTCTAAGTTTCTGAGGATTAGTTATGTACATATGGGCATCAAACGCTTCAAATTCATTTATTCTGACAAAGGAACTATTCACTGATGACATCGACCCGCCTTCCGATCGCTGAGTTTCCACACATTCAGAATGTTTTCATTTTTCATTTGTGTTTTGGTGTGTTTACTGATTCTGAATGGATCCATATAGTAGTTTAAGCAGTCCTTTGGTGTCTCCCTGTGGTCTTGTTTGGTATGGCAGGTTGACTTGTGCTTATTTGTTAAAGTTACTGTACAATTAAGGTTTACATACTTTTAAGTAGCTACTTTTAAGTTGTAAAGAATATCTGCAGTGACATTTTAGCAAAGTAGGCTATGTATTGATTTGGAGAGGAGGGGGGCCTTGGAGTAAAAAAGGTTGAGAACCACTGGCTTAGACAATTGTTTCACATGCTGAGAATGCTAAGCTAACATATAAGTATATAAACCATAAATGTTTAAGAATCACTTAGGCTACCTCTGAGCGATTTGATGATCAGGTAGATCTTGAACCG